TCGAGGTTAAAGGCAGGTCAGGTGCACATACACAAACACTGAGACCTGCTTGCTCCTGGTCCCCAGCTCTGGCCCAAGGTCAGTTGCTCTGGGATCCAGTTGAGGGCGGTTATGCGCAGGGGGAGTAGTGTGGTGCTTGAAAAACAACCCAGGCTGAGGATGAGGAGGAAGCGTGCTAGTCCCTGCTCCGAATGACTTTAGGGATTTGAGCAAGGTGACCAGCTCCTTTTCCATCACCCAGGGTTGGTGAGAGGCCCTGTCTGCTTCAGTGGAGGGTGCCCTGAGAATGACTGTGAAAGGGGCTGCACAGTGCTTTGGGAACAGGATACCATTTTTTTGAAGTTGGAACCATCGATCCTAGATGCCCTTTGTAAGAGGAGGACACAGTGACCATAGTGAGTGGTGCTCTTCCTGGAGCCCGTTTGTGACTGTGGCTGAGAGAAAGGCAGACTGCTGAATCATACCACCCTGCTCACAGCCACCTCTGGAAGACCCATCAGGGCTGGGCCTTAGAGCCAGGCCAGGCAGGGGGTATTCCTCTGTCACGTGGCACTTGTTCCTTTCCAGGGCAAGCAGCATACAGCTGCCCTTCACGCCTGCCTTAGAGACTGCCTGGTTCAGAACATGACTCAGACGGGCACCTACCTATACCACCAAAGGCTGCAAAACAGAAGGGAAAGGGGAATGAGTTGAAGTGACTGAGAGGACCTCCTAGAGGAGAAGAGCTACATTTGGAAAGAGACTGGAATTAGCCTTTCCCAAAATGAGGTTTTTAGAATCCCCAATCCATAGAACAGTAATTGGTATTTGCAAAATGTTCCATGGTTAAATTATTTTTGGGAAATGCAGATTAAAACAAATGCTTCTTCACTACGTCAGGTTACTGAAGAACCTGTCAGGTTCTTCACTACTTTGTTACTATGGAACTCATGTTCATGAAACATTCTCAGAGAAAGGTGACGGGGGATGTGGCGTGGTCCTAGCCTGGGCCTCTGGCCTCCCTGGAATCTTGGCTCTGCTCCCATTTTCCAGCCAGACTTTCCAGCGAAGTATGTATCACAGAAGGGCTTTGTGGACTTCATGAGGTCCCTCCCTTTCCTGCCAGCAGTCCCTACTCCCAGGCCATGAAAGAACTTCCTTGTTCTCCCTCAGGCCACATGCCTCATTCCAAATGGTCAACTGGCTCTTCCTGTCATCTTTTGGGTCCTTTTGTAGAAGGCTTTGGAACCTCATTTATGCTCCAGGTTCCCTGCCCCTGCCCTTCCAAGAGCCCTCAGTGTTCCTAATAAAGCTGAAGACTCCCAGTCCAGGCCTCTCTGATCCAACTCCACCCTGACAGTTCCTAGAATAGGAACCCAGAAATAGCAAGACCCTTGGCTTAGCATTGGGGGTCAGTCCTGTAAGAGCCTATGACCCAAGTGTTTTTCTTCCTTTTCAGTTGGCTAGTGTCTGGAAGGAAACAGTTTGGCGGGGGAGGAAGAGAGAGAGGGAGGGTCACTCAATGTTACTTGCTTTTATTTCATGCTAGTGTGCTGAGATGGCTGGAAGCTTTGAGAGAGTAGAAACCTGGGCTTCTAATTCTGGAACTACTGTGAAGACAAAAGAAAGTTCGGGTTTCTTGGTTCTTCTGCCCTCGCTTCAGCTCCTCCAAAGAATCATCCAGAGAAACAAATGTGAGAAATCACTAGAAAGAGCATGTGAACTGAACTCAAGATGGGGTTGTGAGCTCTTATGATTCAGCTCTCCAAGACAGAAATGTGAGCTGTCCTCACACATTCCCTCTGGGCTGAACACTGAACACTCCTCTTGATTAGTGTGTAATTGCTGAAGTCAGAATTTTTAAAGGATAATAATACTCATTAACTGAGCTCAGAGTCACATGTTTACTGCATTTCTTGTTAAGCAGGCTTCAGAGCTGTAATTAACATCCCTAGTGCTGTAGACAGCAAGAAAACAAATGATCAACTCCTGTCTTAAAGAAAAGAAACTTCTCTCACTCATAGCTACTTTTTTCTTAGCTGGTGGCAGCCTGGACAGAGCACTGGAAATAATAATGAGGCTTCTTTGTTCTCCAGGGTCAAGGTCATTTGCTGATTGCAGAGAACACTGTGCTGGGTACCCTGGCCTGAGGTGTGGCGGTTTGGACCCCGTAATGTGTTGCTTGATGAGAAACATCCCTCATCTTCACCATCACCCCCACTCCTTCTGCCCCCGAGGGCCCTCCTGCTAAAAGCACATTATTGCCCCAATCACCATGGTTAAGGTTCCACTGTTAGATTTTTTTTTTTTCGGGGGTGGTGGTATGGCAGGGATATTATATTACCTGATTAAAGGTACTATTGCTATTACCTGAAGGGGGATTCATGCCACTGCCCAGTACCAACCGCTCAGGGTAAGTATGGACTAAAAGGGGAGGATATGGGTTCAGTTCTAGTCCTACCACTGCTTCTCAGGGCCATATGACTTTGAACAAGTCTTTTCCTCTCTCTGGACGTTGGGTTTTTCATCTTATACAATGAAGAGAGGAGTTCAGATTAGACAATAAATGATTTCCTGGATCCTTAACATCCACAACTATTCTACTGGTGCAGGGAAGTCTAAGAAGAATAGGAAGTGATCCCTGTCCTCAAGCAGTTTGTCCTCAATGCAGTAAATATTATAGCAGAGTTTGTTAAATTTTTATGTGAGCCTTATTTTGGCTTCCAATAAAACATTGAGAACTCCAGTGGGTTGAAGAGTGTCCCCTCAAAATTCACATCCACCCGGAACCTCAGAATGTGACCTTATTTGGAAATAGGGTCTTTGCAGATATAATTAAGATAAGGATCAAACTGAGATCACACTGGGTTAGGGTGGGCCTAACTCCAAGAATAGTCCTTAGGAGACAGAAAAGGACATACAGGGACACACAGAGAACACACAATGTGAAGATAGAAGCAGAGATTAGAGTAATGTATCTACAAGCCGAGGAACGCCAGGAGCCACCAGAAGCTGGAAGAGGCAAGGAAAGATCCTTCCCTAGAGCACTGGGAAGGAGCATGGCCCTGCTGACACCCTGATTTTGGACTTCTGGCTTCCAAAACTGAAAGAATAAATTTCTGTTGTTTTAAAACCACCAAGTTTTAATTTGTTTTGGTAATTTGTTTTGGCAGCCCTAGCAAGCTAATACAGGCGTATTCTGAGGAATTTTCAGACACCAATTTTTATAAAATCACATTTGAGATTTAAGAAAAATTTTTTTCTTTTTTTTTTTAAGATTTTTTTATTATTTATTTTATTTTTTCCCCCCAAAGCCCCAGTAGATAGTTGTATGTCATAGCTGCACATCCTTCTAGCTGCTGCATGTGGGACGCGGCCTCAGCATGGCCGGAGAAGCGGCGCATCGATGCCCGCCCAGGACCCGAACCCGGGCCGCCAGCAGCGGAGCGCGCACACCCAACCGCTAAGCCACGGGGCTGGCCCCAGAAAAATTTTTTCTTGTATGATAATACAAAGAGGAACTGTACTCACATAGTAGCACTAAGACTTGTAAAAGTAAAAATTAAAGCTCGGAACCACACTTGAATTGATTCTATCAGGGAAAACCTGTCCCTTCTGGGACCAAGGCAGTAATCCCCCAAAACTGCCCACCTCTGGTTGCTTTTTCCTGCCTATCTCAAACTGTCTCCACATTGTTAACTTTTACTGTAAGTCATCTTTTCATTGTGCAGATTGTAGAGTCTTAGGATGCTTTCCCATCCTGAATTTATTAGTCAATAATGTGTACAGGGCTGGCCCGGTGGTGTAGTGGTTAAGTTTGCACTCAGCTTTGGCGGCCCCAGGGTTCACAGGTTTGGATCCCGGGTGCGGACCTGTGCACCTCTCATCAAGCCATGCTGTAGCAGCATCCCGTATGCAAAATAGAGGAGGATGGGCACAGATGTTAGCTCAGGGACAATCTTCCTCAGCAAAAAAAAAAAAAAAAAAAAAAAAAGGCACAGCTATCTGCAGTCCCCCTTGATAGCAGGAGATAATAGGAGATCCAGTTAAGGTCTGAGACACCTAAACTTGCTTTACTATAGGATCTGCCTTGTGCCTGCCTGTGCAGACCTGGAGTGGCCAGCCAGGATGTGAGGAGGATCCCTAAGGATTGAGGGTGCATGAGTCATCAGATAAAGGCAACATTGATTTTATTGTCCTTTGCTACTGGTTTATTTAACTGGTGGCTGTGGTCTTTATTAGGAGCCCTTAGCCTATCAAAATGGTATTTTTCAAGTTGAAAAATTATTGATTATATCCATTGACCCAACAGTTTCACTTCTGGGAATTTGAGGAAATATTCTAGGCAAGCATGCAAAGATAGATGTATAAGGATGGTTGTTATAGAATTAAATAGCAAAAAAACGAAGCAAAAAACTGGAAGTATCCTAAGTCTATTAACAAGGAAATGGTTAAATAAAATTTAAAATATTCCTGGGTCAATCTTACCACCTAGAGAGAGCACCAGACGTTACGTGCCTCCTGATGAGTTGCAATAGGAAGTTAAGAGCATTACCTAAGAAGTGTTCTGGCCAGAAAATCAAACTTGATCTGACAAAGCTTTTAGATCCATCAGTTCTCAGAAAATACAGTGGTTAGAGGAACATATCAATGGTATAACAGAGATGCAAACAACCAAATCAAAAATTGTAGGGAAAATGACCTGTTTTTTCCAACAGATAAAGAGCAAGAAAAAAGCAAACTGTTATAGATTAAAGGAGTCTTGAGACAGGCATATCAAGCAGATGCAATGCACAGGTGGTGTTTACATCCTGATTTAAAACAATGCAACTGTAAAAAGATAATCAGGGAAAATTTGACACTGACTGGATATTAGATAATAAAAAAGAATTATTGTTACTTTTTCTAGGTATAATAATTGTGGTTATGTTTTTAAAAAATCCTTAGCTCTTAGACATATTTTATTTACAGATGAAATAATATGATGTCAAGGATTTGTTTTAAAATAATCTAGAGGCCAACCGAGAGATGAGAGAGAGGCGGCTGGGCAGAAGTTCCAGACGATCCCCCCGGTGGCCTCATGTCGCACAGCGGAGAGGGCCCTGAGCAGCGCCAGCAGCTGTTAGAGGCAGAGGCCACGGCCACAGCCTTCCGGGCAAGCGAACATCAGCCTATCCGCTACAACCCGCTACAAGAAGAGTGGGTGCTGGTGTCAGCTCACCACATGAAGTGGCCCTGGCAGGGGCCAGTAGAGCCCCCACTTCTGAAGACAGTGCCCCGCCATGACCCCCACAACCCTCTGTGTCCTGGGGCCACACAGGACAATGGAGAGGTGAATCCTCACTATGACAGCACTTTCCTGTTTGACAATGACTTCCCAGCTCTGCAGCCTGATGCCCCCAATCCAGGACCCAGCGATCACCCCGTTTTCCAAGCTGAGCCCGCTCGAGGAGTTTGTAAGGTCATGTGCTTCCACCCCTGGTCAGATGTGACACTGCCACTCACGTCAGTCCCTGAGATCTGTGCTGTCATCGATGCATGGGCGTCAGTCACAGAGGAGCTGGGTACCCAGTATCCTTGGGTGCAGATCTTTGTTTTTTGTGTTTTTGTTATTTTGTTTTTGTGAGGAAGATCAGCCCTGAGCTAACATCCGTGCTAATCCTCCTCTTTTTGCTGAGGAAGACCGGCTCTGAGCTAACATCTATTGCCAATCCTCCTCCTTTTTTTTCCCCCCCAAAGCCCCAGTAGATAGCTGTATGTCATAGTTGCACATCCTTCTAGTTGCTGTATGTGGGATGCGGCCTCAGCATGGCCGGAGAAGCGGTGTGTCAGTGCGCACCCAGGATCCAAGCCTGGGTCACCAGTATCAAAGCGCGCACACTTAACCACTAAGCCACTGGGTGGCCCCAAGCGTGCAGATCTTTGAAAACAAAGGAGCCATGATGGGCTGTTCCAACCCTCACCCCCACTGCCAGGTGTGGGCCAGCAGTTTTCCACCAAACGTTGTCCAGCATGAGGAGCGATCTCAGCGGGCCTATCAGAGTCAGCATGGAGAGCCCCTGCTGATGGAGCATGGCCGCCAGGAGCTGCTCAGGAAGGAACGTCTGGTCCTAACCAGTGAGCACTGGTTAGTGCTGGTCCCCTTCTGGGCCGTGTGGCTCTTCCAGACACTGCTGCTGCCCCCTCAGCATGTGTGGCAGCTGCCTGAGCTGACCCCTGCTGAGGGCGATGATCTAGCCTCCATCATGAAGAAGCTCTTGACCAAGTACAACAACCTCTTTAAGACGTCCTTTCCCTACTCCATGAGCTGGCACAGGGCTCCCAGAGGATCAGAGGCTGGAACCCCCTGGGACCACTGGCAGCTGCATGCTCATTACTACCCTCCACTCCTGCGCTCTGCCACTCTACGGATATTCATGGTTGGCTATGAACTGCTTGCCCAGGCTCAGAGGGACCTCACCCCCGAGCAGGCTGCGGAGAGACTAAGGGCACTTCCTGAGGTCCATTACCGCCTGGGGAAGAAGGACAGGGAGACAGCAGCCATTGCCTCACCACGCTGACCACAGGACCTTGTGCCTGCGGGATCCAGGGCCTAGGGTTTGGGCAGATGTGGGATCAATAAAACTATGCTACTGAAACTTTAAAAAAAATAATAAATAAAAATAAAATAAAATAATCCAGAGGGGCTGGCCCAGTGGCGTAGCGGTTAAGTTCGAGTGTTTCGCTTTGGCGGCCCAGGGTTCACTGGTTCAGATCCTGGGCGCGGACCTACTCACAGCTCATCAAGCCATGCTGAGGCTGCGTCCCATATAGAAGAGCTACAACTCCACAACTGTGACATACAACTGTGTACTGGGCTTTGGGGAGAAAAAAGAAAAAAAAGAGGATTAGCAACAGATGTTAGTGCAGGGCCAATCTTCCTCAAAACAAACAAACAAAAAATAAATACATAAATAAAATAATCCAAAGAGTTAGATTATGTTTTAAAGCTATAATATGTTGCTAATTGTTGAAGCTGGTAGATGGGTATATGGGGGCTCATTATACCAGTCTCTCTAATTTTGTAACAGAAATTTTCCATAATGAAAAATTTTTTAAACAGTACATACAGGTAAGTCTATATATACTGACATAGAATGATTGCAGAGACATATTACATAACAAAGTGGTTATAAACCAGCTTCTAAAGCAGGATCTCTTGTAAAACGCATACATATCTATATTTAGGTGTAGGAACATCTAAAATGTTATCACTAGAATGTCAATGGTGGGTCTGTTGGCAGCGGAGTTTCGATGATACTTTTTTTTGTTCTTTGCTTGTCTGTATGTTCTGGGGGTGTCACTTAAAATGTCCCCCCTCTCAGTTTTTCTTCAACACGTGCTGGTGGTGAATAAGAAATTAATAATAAAGGAGGAGAGTGGAGAGAGAATATTGATTGCTTCTTTGCTTTAAAAGCCTGAAACGGGGGCCGGTGTCGTGGTGTAGCAGTTAAGTTCCCACCCTCTGCTTCGGTGGCCCCGGGTTCACAGGTTCGGATCCTGGGCGCAGACCAACACACCGCTTGTCAAGCCACGCTGTAGTAGAGCAAGATGGGCACAGATGATAGCCCAGGGCCAATCTTCCTGAGCAAAGAGGATTGGCAACAGATGTTAGCTCAGAGCTAATCTTCCTCGCAAAAAAAAAAAAAAAAAGCCTAAAACAAAAATTCCTCGCTTCCCTTTCCTTCAGCAGGAACCCTCTGCATAGGCCAGCCTGCTCATACACTCCTCTCAACTCACGCAGTACTTTCCTTGTCAAAATTTCTCTCAACCCAAAAAGAAATTGCGTACAACCAACCAACTCCTGCTGTTAAAATCTCTCAAAGTGTAGCTCATGTCCTAACACTTCTAGAAAGTCTTTCATGATGACACCCCTCCTTAGGGATCCCTGCTTTCCAGGATCTTTGCAAGCACAAGAAAGTACAGGATTGCCCTGAGGGCCCTAGAGTCTTCTGGGGAGGCTGAGAAAATTCCCCTTGGTCAATGAATCCATCATACACCCAGTAGGGGGAGCCAGAACTTAGTTCCCAACCCCTGGATGTACCACCCCTGCATAAACAAACTCCATATGGAGTGTGATCAAAGTTATGCACAAAACATGTTTTTTAAGGGCGGGAGGGAGAAGGAGCAGGCAGAGCCTTAATGTCAGTCTTGAAAGAGGTTTGTTCTTTTCGCTACAAGGAACTTTTCAGAGTAGCAATCCTTGAACCAGGCTTCCCTGTACATTTTATGTGCAGATTTGATTTACAAAAATATATGCACACAACTTCTCAAAAGTATGTGTGTGTGTGTTGTTTAAAGCCAGATAGACCTTGCTGTGCAAGGAACGAACAGGACGTTGCCATTGGATCTCCAAATTCAATAAACTGAGCTTTGGTTGGGGAACTTAGGTAGGAGGTAGCTTGGAGAAAGAGCACTGGGTCTGAGGTTGATGTTCTTAGTTAAATCCTGCCTCTAATCATTAACCAGCTGTTTGACTGTAGGCTGTTTGAATCTCTCTGGGCTGGTTGTGAACTTCTGTGACAAGGGATGTGAAGGTGCTTTGAAATACAGCACAACTGTAAAGCATTCTGAGGGCTCCCATCTGTTGAGATTTCACAGTCCCAGCGAGATGGCAGATCTCCCTCACTTAAACTCAGTCCAAATAATCGTGGCTCTGGGGCAGCCAGGAGCATGGGGACTGGCTGGAGTTAACTGGGACAAAAATCTCCAAGCCCTTGGGCATCCAGCCAGCTGTTTACCCAAGCAGGACCCAGGAGCCTCTTTACCCCTCCTGGTTGCAGCATTCCCTTTTAACTACAGAGGTGAGAGGCTTAGCCAGGCTGCCCAGCTGGAGAAAGAACCATCTGTGGCCTTTCCCCAGGACGCAGGGAACCTGAGCAACCCTGGAGAGAGAAGCTGAAAGCTGGGCCACCTGAGACGTTGTCGAGAGGCAGCTTCTCAGAGAACATGAAGGACTCTGCTAGGAGCTGAGCCGGTAGAATTGGAGCAAGGCCTCAAGGAAAGAGGCATTGGTACTCCTAGGAGACGCCCTCTCAGGCAGAAGTGGCCACTGCTGACCAGGGTTAGGGGGTGACGAGTATTAGCTTTGCCCTGCAGGCAAGGCCCCAGCATCTACAGGTCCAGTCTGGGTCCATCTGTGTTTGGAGTCAGGTGCTGGTTTGTTTTTTCCCTGAGATCTTTCCCCTCCCCAGGTCTCTCTGCACCATCTGTAGCTGGCTGTGGCTACAGTTGGGGACAGTAGTTTTCTGCAGCGGCTAATCCTCAGCAGTGCAGGCCTGTAGGAACTGGTTTAACTAGCTTCTGAGAGTCTTGACTCCACCCCAGACTCCTTTGGCTTCAGGGAAGGGAGGTGGAAGGGTGGGGGAGGAGGAGACAGGGTACAGGCAAAGGGAGCTGGGAAGTCAGGAGATCCCTGGAGAGATAACTTAACTCTGAGGGAGGAGAGGGTCTCCCAGGCTTCCCTGAACTTCCACCAAACTATCTCCTCACAGGTCCCAGGACAGAGACTCCAGCCCCTCTCTGCCTCTCCTATAGTTAATATCACTTTTGATTCTCCAGGAAGTCGCCCACTTGAAGAAGTCTTACCTGCCCATCACCATCATGCAGGTCTCCATGTGCAGTCATCTACAGCCAGGCCTCACCCTCTGTAGACTAGACTCAGGTTCCTTGAGGGCAGGGCCTGAGCTGTTGTCCGAATCTCCACCGGGTCTGTGTGGAGTCAGTGTTGGGCTGAAGAGTAGAGCAGCCCTGGAAACTTCCATCCACCATCCAGTCTTCTGCTTCCATCAGTATATGACAGCTCAGTGCCCTAACTTGCAGCTTCTTGACTCCTGTTGTATCTTACATTCCTGGAGGCTCGCTGTGTTGCACACTCTATGGCCAAATTATGGGGCATAAACAACATTGTTTGAAATTTCAGTAAATAAAATGATGATGGATGTGCTGTCTTATACCCCTCCAGATCTGCTTTCCACCCTGCTCAGGGCCTCTATTTGGTCTCTTATCAACAGGCTTCCTCGTCCTCTGGCTTCTGGTTAGGTTCAGCCAATGGAGACTAGAAGGAGGGAAGAGAGGGACATGAGATTGTTTGTTCCCCATCACATACCCCACCTTCCTAAAAGCAGGGTCTCTGCAGATGCCTGTCAGCTGGCCTTTCCATACACTCTCTTCTCCCTCTCTGTTGTCCCCTAAGGTCTAGTAGTGATCAAGTCTCCCTACTGTCACTGGCCCCAGGGTACCGCACCATCTCTTGTTGCCTTTCAACTCTCTTCAATGATCCCTCTGTTTCTTGCTGTGACCCTGATAGATAGGACAGGTACCACGGAGATATATGAATCACCACCTAACCTACCTCTGTCACTAGTCTGTGGGACCTTGACAAGTTACCCAACCTCTCTGAACCTCAGTTTCCTCTTATGTAAAATACTGCTGGGAGAGAAGGGGTGCTCTGAGGTCACTTTCATCTCTTAGAATCATTCTGGGTTCTAAGGTGATAAGTGTAGCTCCTGTAGAATTCAACCAGGATGGAGAAATAGTAGCATTATTCCATTGGGTATTTGGGTGTAGGTGTTAAGGGAGTCACCCAGAGTTAAGAGTTGGTAAGGAAAAAGGCAAGTAATACCTCCATCTGTGCTGCAAGTGTGTTTATTTTAAACATGGTCCTTTCCAAGAAATTCTCCAGAGTTGTAGGAGGAATCAGCTTTTATTTTATCTTCAGCTCTGTTTGTATTTGTCTTCCCTTGTTAGAAAATGTAGGGCCGGCCCTGTGGCTTGGTGGTTAAGTGTGCGCGCTGCGATGCTGGCGGCCTGGGTTCGGGTCCCCGGTGCATTGAGGCACCACTTCTCTGTCCATCCTGGGGCCGAGTCCCACATGCAGCAACTGGAAGGGTGTGCAGCTATGACATACAGCTGTCTGCTGGGGCTTTGGGGGCAAAAAATAAATAAAATCTTAAAAAAAAAAAATAAAAAAAATAAATAAATTTCTAAAAAAAAAAAAAAAGAAAATGCAGGAAAAATCTCTTTCTCCTGGTGTTTTTTCTCAATCTCTCTACTGCTATTAATCTAGTCTCTCTCTGTATTTGTTTTCTTCTTTTTATTTCTGTTTCTCTCCATTAAAAAAAAAAAAAAAGAAAAGAAAAGAAAAGAAAAAAAGGCATTTCCTTCAGCACCTACATAGCTGGGGAGATTCAGACAGTTCCTAAACAAAGGTCCCTGGCAGGCATACAAATGAGGCAGCCAGAACTGGCCCGCACCTGGAGCTGCCAGTTAGGGGGAAAGCCCCAGATGCTGGAAACTTTTGGCCTCAGAGAAGTTGTCCCAGGCTGAGACCAAGACTGACAATTAATTTTAACTTTACACTTTGGACAGAATCCACCTGGCTGTCTCTTGTACCACCCAGTTGTCTCATACCTATGATTTCAGGAAAAGTGTTTAAAAACCAGAGAGTGAGACTGAGATTTCTCTTTAACGGGAGTCATAGACGGCCCTAAGACTTCTCGAGTTGGAAGGACTTCAAAGA